TTTTTGTTTCGTTTACAGAAGCTCACGTAGCAATTTATCGTCAAATAAAAGCAGACAACTGGAACTAGCAGCAGAATCGGACTTGGAAATCGATCAATATTTGTTCCATATGGGATTCGGACTTCACGAATATCAATATCTAATTACCGAACACGAATAGGAAAAAAAAAATAATGCAAAATAGCCATTGTAAAATCACAAGCCAGCAAACAAGTAAAAGCGGACATCACTAGGCAGACAACAAAAAATAATTTTATCTCGAAGAAAATGTAAAACCAAAGAGATCTGCGATCCATAAAGTGCTATGTAAATACGGGTTTATGATTATATTATTAAAGCATTATTATTAGCATTATTAAGTGCAAAGGAAGTTGCTTCTGTCTAATATTGAATAAAGTTGATGTTTAAACAATTAAAAAATAATAAGCTCCGGTATTTGTTTGTTGGCAATGCGTACCTCGAACAAAGAGTATTAAACAATGTTATAATTAAGATCCAATGTTTAGCTCACTATGTTGTGATTTTTAAATTTCCATTCATCTTGTCTTATCTTGCCGATTGGGCTCGGATTCTTAACCTTGAGGTAGCCTACGTTTGCTTCTCTCTAGCCAGGTGTAAATGGGTCCAACGGGATACTGGGAAGTCAAACAGATTTGGTTAGAAGATTTGTTGGATATATTTTTGCTCTATCTACTTTTTCAGTGTTTGTTATTCTTAGTTTTATTTTTGCTCAATTTACATTCTCATATTTTTAGTGTTCGCTATTCTGTGCAGTCTGTGCTTTGTATCTTATATTTTAGTATATTAATGAATTTTATTCATTGTACCGTGAAAGCAAATTTCATATGTTGTATTCAACACTGTATATGACCAATAAAACGAACTTAACTTAAAGTTATTACAGACTTGTTTGTATGCGAAGAGTGGCGGACCACCATAGCCTTGTTCAATCTAGCCCGAACGCCATAAGGAAGATAGGCACTCTGGCCTGTGAGCTTTTGGGGTTCAACATTAGTACTTTTTCAATTTATTTTCATGTGACTGTGATAAGGAGCTTAGGAACCACTCAGGTGGAACAGGAAGACTACTTTGATGTTCCTATTCTATTACATTTTAAACTAAATACTGGTGCATAATGATATGATTATAATAAAGATGGATATTTTCAAACACCATAAATTATATCCTGTATTCAAAATCCATCAGCCATCCTTATGCCAAATTTTAATACAGCAGCCCCCTATAACCTCTTACTCGTGGAGGCTCCAGGATATATTTTCTGGGGGCTGAGCTGTCCTACAGGGGAACTTGGGCTGGTAGGCCCGAGCTGGGAGAAGGGTTTGAGAGGGTGTTCTCCTCCCAAATGAGATTTTTTAAGAATAGGAACCTCTGGATGGCCAGCGATGACACTCTGATTACAGACATGTGTTGGCTTGGCGTGGGCCTATTTTTTATATTTTTTAACCCGACTGCCCGATGAGCTCTGTCCAATGGGGAGGGGGCTTGACCTGTCCGGTAGGCGGGGGGGGGGGGGCTTCAGCCCCTGCTGCCCATCCACTGGCGCCGCCACTGCTCTTACTGTATGCCCATAATATTATAATTCCTTTCTGTGAGATGTTCATTATCAGACGACTTTGATTCCTGCTTTTGTTAAACTCTGGTACGTCCTCTTTATCTTGTTGTTTTCTATTATTTTTATACCATCCTTTGAAACTATACAAGATATGTAGATCTACTTTATTCTCAAGATAATAAATCATCAATAATCACTTTATTAAAATATGAAATAAAGGAATACATTTACGTAAAAACCTTAGGTCAAAGTTCATTAAAACAAATCTGGAAAACAGATTTCATGTACTATACTGGTATAGTATCTTGAATCTTGAACGATCTGGTTTGTTACAAAAGTTTAGGATGCTTTTAATAGTCGTAATGAATTCTCTTTTTGGATGTAACCTCTTAAGCCTATTTCAATGCACTCTTATAATAATAATAATAATAATTATTATTATTATGATAATAATAATAATAATAATAATAATAATAATAATAATAATAATAGATTTATTATTATTATCATCATCATTATTAATGTCAAGGTAATTTAATTAATCATCATATACATTATATACTTTATTTACTATACTGTACATTTTAAATACATCGCCTATCGTTATGTTTAATACTGCAGCACTCTATAATAGAAAATGTATATACTATTCCTGTAAGCTTATGGTTCATTTCTGGAAATATGCAAACATATGAGTCAAAAACTGTTGGAGGAAGACTGCAGGAAAGTATTACAGACATACCATAAGCTTGTCTGTTAATGTCGCTATTATTATTAGGCCCATGGTTACTCGAACAGACAATAATACATATTTGCAGACTGAAAAAAGTTTGCTTAATAGCCATGGTAAATATTATTTTACTGGCCTTTATAAAAACATGCAGTCGTCGGCATATTTACATTTTTTTTATTCAAAGAGCTACTGTCTTATAATATAAGAGTCATGCTAAGTACCGCACAGGTGCTATTGCCAAACATAGTTTTCCTCAGTTGGCTCAGTGTCTGGATGGTGGTCTGGTCCAGTGGATGGTCCAGTGCAAAATTCTCTGACATGTGGTCAGACAATACCAAACAGAAGCCTCTGGGGTCACTATATAGGCTGTCTCTTATACACATCTAGATGTGTATAAGAGACAGATATATATATAATTTTTACGTCATTTTTTCAAATTTAGAATTAGATATTCGTCGTGAGCTCGCGGGCTACGTAGGTGGTTAAAATTATTGCTACCTATACAGAAAGAATCATTCATGAAAATGACCACACACTAACTATACACACAGAGCGTTAAATGTACATACAATGGCTGTAGAACGTTTAGATTCGTTGCCGGGGTTACTGTACACGGGACAGCAATAAAAATTTCTGAAGCTGAGTACGTGTATTGATTGGTAGCCAGTTCGAAGTTACCTATTAGTAGTAGCCGACTGAGAGCGGTTCCGACAGGTGTAATAACATTGAGAACAACTAAGTTTTCCAGGACGGATAAGCTTACGCAATCTATGGTTAAAGTTTAAAGTCTTGTACAGTATTACGGTACTTAAACAGTGATGGTTACTCAAGTAGTAGCTCTTGGGCCTACATTTGGAAGTTAAGGTAGGCACATGTGAACAGTATGCATATGTACAAAATTAACAAGATTTAAAAATATAAAAAAATATTAATTGTTTTTCAGATGGAATATACAGGACAACTCAGAAAACATAGTTGTATTGTATAACGAGGCTATTGTGTAGTTCGTATTGTTCATAAACAATCTTAACTACAGCTTTGTTAACCACTGGAAGCCAACTAGGCAAAATAGCGTGTTGACTAATTGCATTTCCATTATTTTCAGAGAAACCTCTTCTTAAAAGATTCTTTTAATTAACATGCATGGGACGCAATTACCAGAAAACAAGGCAATATGTCTATAAAATTGTGTTTTGAGGTATAAAATGGAGAAAGATTCACAAAGTACCACTCAAATATGTAAGCACACCACTAACCGGATTAAACGAGGAACACTTAAACAAGCTAAGCAAAAACATTCAGAAACACCGACCACGATTTCAACTAAAGATGATGAAGCTTATACTCCATCTTCCAAAGTGTTGATAGATAAGATTGGTCGGTTAAAAAATACAAGAGCTTTATCCACCAGTTTTAATGCTGAAACCAAGAGTAAAAAATGCTCCAGCAGTAAATACGGCAAAAAACGCAAACAAATGGACAAGCAAATGTGTAGTAGAAGTTACGACGATTACCAAACAAGGAAAAATTCTAGCCATCATGAAACGGATGAATCTTTAAGGACAGGAAGTAGTGTTCGAATGATTCTAGACCAGTCTGAATTTAACAGACTTAACTATTTGTACGAGAAGGCCATACTTCATGGGCAAAGAGATGTTCGTACGCAAAATGCTGGAAAACATGTAAAACATGTAAACGCTTATACAGGTTCTTGTCATCGTCAAGACAACTTACATCAGATGTCGTCTGCAAACGGAAAAATACAGAATGAGCAGACTGACAATTCTGATACTGATGAATATAGCTCATTAGAGGACAGTACTAGTTCATCAGGCACCGAGTATGACTTAAGGTATGCCTCAACATTTGCCATATTTTCATGCAATTATCAATTTGGGTTTGATCCGATACTCAAATGTGCACAAAATGTTTCTGTGATGTGAAGGATTGACGACCCACGACATCGAACATTTATCATGGCGGTTTATATGAATAGTTTACCTTAATCATTCACATTTACTCATTTTACAATTTTAACAGAAATGTATGGTTTTGACAGAAAAATGTATGACTTGTGCATGCATTTTAGGAGTAATTTTGCTTTGTTTTCGGAATTCTTTTCTCACTTCCCAACAGATGCCTAGGAATTGTTTTAAAGAATTTAATAGTGTAGGCCTATGTGAGAATTGGCCTACTAAGGTATATTTCCAAAACATTCGAAGTCCAATGCATTCGAAATACTGCTACCCAAACCAAATCGACAAAATTCAAATGGTTGAAAAGAATTTTCAAATGATCATTAAAATTAATTGCACTTGCTAATATTACCCTCTCTCAACAGGGGCGCATCCAGAGAGGGATGTGTAGGGGGGGGAGGGTGGGGACCGATCGAGAGGCAACACTACCCTAGGGGGATCCGGAAATTTTTTGTTTTGTAGACGCCCGGAAATAAACTCTAAGGCGTTTAATAATTTTTAAATTTTTCCTAAAAGAGGAGGGGGTCGGGATCGGCCCGCCCCCTAAATCCTCTCCTGTTTCATCAATCACAAAATATTAGTTATCAACGAATTACAGACGGATGTTCGGGAATTCTTAAATATGCTGGCAGAAAGGTATATGGAACGGCTAATAGTATTAGGCCTATTTAAATTTCAGTGAATTTGAGGGACAAAAATATATTGTACCAACTTTTAGTTGAAAGCTAAAATACTCACTGAATTACACCAGGTAATTTTTTAGAAAATATATTTCAACCTGGCAGTATATCTTAATTTCGAATTGCTGCTATGTAATGCCGTTTGCTTCTCTTACAGTATCAACCATAGCAATGGATCGCTTGCCAACAGCAGACTACCTGCAGAAAACAATTCGGAAAACAAGCGATACCCCGACTACACTGAGGGGATAAATGAACATAAGCCACTAATAGTAGAATACGTAAAGAAACAACCACATCAAAAAGACAGCAAACATGGAAGATGGGGAAAAATCGTACCAGGTGCATCCATAAAGAACTACTGTTCCACAGCCACTGAGGAAAGTATAACAGAATGGTCAAGCAGTGATGACGATGGCGATATTTCGAATGAGAACTCTATGCAACATGAAAGAAATAAGTTTATGACCTCCAGTTCGAATCGCTCAACATATTCCACCGACACATCCTCTGTTCAGAATTCAAAAATGTGTGTAATTTTATAAACTTTGATAGTTTAATTAAACATTCAAAACTCTACTACGTATTTCACTTTTTCACTTTAAATTAATTTAATATTGTCTATATTTTAATTTGTTAGTATTGCAGATAGATATTCTACATTTATATCATCATGAGCATCCCTCATCATAGTCCAAGCAGTCCAGTATTACAAATTATGGTTTTCCGTTTTTTTTTTTTTGTTTTTTTTTTATACGTTTTAACTTGATTACGTGCCATGTATTTGCGCTTCAGGGCAAAATAAAAGATTA